GATAACTTGGAAGCCTTTTCCTATAAGGGAGAGTTTTGAGTGCTATCAAGTGCTATTATTAAACATCCAGTGCTCTTCCAACAGAAGGAGTTCTGGGAAGGGCAAAGGCGTGCACGTGAATGGAATTCTTCTTTGTACCTCTCCATACATTTCACATTTCTGAAACAACGACTGTTCTGTGTGGGCCTGTCTTCTAGCACTACTTCAGCAAGATGCAGACAGATGCTGACAAGCCCTCACCCGCTGTCCTGGGTCCATCATAGGTTCCTGATTCTTCTCCATCTCGAAAAATCTTCAGGGTGGGATATCCACTGACTCCATACTTGTTGCAGGTGTTTGAATTTGCTGTACAGTCAACCTAAGACAAAAGAAATATTGCTATTCAATGATTTATCAACCTGCATACCCAGGCAAAAGCAGCTCTGCCACTGCACGCATTATCACATATAAATTGGAAGACTGAAGGGCTTGAAAACTCTCACATGCTTTTAATCAGGGCTGGATTCCTTCTACATAAAATGTAAAGGTCTGAGAAACACCTGTGAGACCCAAGTCTATGAGATCAGAAGCCAGGCCCAACATGAAACCAAGCAGCCCATGGGTGACGTGGTGCACAGACTGTCACTGAGACGTCAGTACTACAGAGCATGTAACACGTGTAACAGCACAGATGCATTAAGAGGCACAGAAAAGATTTAAGGAAATATACAGGAAACTAATAGTTGCAACTTTGAGATGCCTTCCCCATTAAAATACTAATAAGGGTAGATTCTTGTTGATGGGAGGCTTAACAGGAATCAACCTGTTAACAATTCCTAGCACCTTATCAACACTGAAGGTTTCAGCAACAGCTGAAGCAAACACAAGTCCGGAGGAATCCATGTCAACTTCCCATAAAGCAGCAGACCCTTATTTAGCAAAACCACGCAAGTTTCCTGGAGGAAAAGGTGGTTCTTTAACAAAGCTCCTTACTGCGTAAGGCAAGGGACAATACCACAACTACTGAGTACAGCAATTCTTGGATTGAGACTGCACAGCTCCCAGGCAGCTCACCCCACCCGAGCCCCCTCCCAGCCAGCAGCACACGCCCATCTCACAGCCTCACATCGGCCACAGCCCTCAATATCAGACCGTTCCCGGTGTTTGAGTCTTCGAGAAGCTGCAGCTCATCACCGCTCTGAGCCACGGGCATGTCGGATGCGCAGCCCAGCAGCCGTAACAACACGGCTTCTTCACCCGCAGCAGCCACGGAGCCGCAGACCCCGGGCAGAGCCGCAGCCGCCCCTCACCTTCACGAGCGGGACGATCCCCTTCAGTCTGGTGGCGGCCGCCTCGTATTCCGGCGCCAGCCGCTTGCAGTGCCCGCACCTGGGGGGAGGAGGAGGAGGAGGAGGAGGAGGAGGAGGAGGAAGAGGAGGGGGAGGAGAAGGAGGGGCGTCAGGTCCGCCAGAACGTCTCGCCCCGCCCCCACCTTCGCCCCCGGCCCAGCCCCGCAGGCCTGGCTTTGCCCCGCCGCCCCTCACCAGGGCGCGAAGAACTCCACGAGCACGAGTCCCGGGCGCTCGGCCAGGCCGCTCTCGAAATCGGCGTCGCTGAGCTCCACCACGTCGGAGGCGGCGGCGGAGAGGGCGAGGAGCGGGAGGAGCAGCAGCGCGGCGGGTGGCGGCCGAGGCACGGACATGGCGGGCGGCCGTGCAGAGCTGCGCTCCCTCCTCGGCGGCGGCGGCGGCTGAACAGGCGCCGGGGGCCGCAGGCCGGAAGTCCCGCCTCCGCAGCCGGATCTGCCGTGTGGCAGCTCCCCATTGGGCGTCGTGCCTTACGTCACGAGAGCCGCGGCCAATGGGCTGCCGAACGGGTAGGGCGGGGAACCGCAGCGGCCGCCCCGCCCCCGCGGGCCGCTGGGTCCCGGTGCAGGCCGGGCCTCGAGGGGGCGGCGTGGGGGCGCTGGGCCGCGCTGGGCCGCGCGCGGTCGGCGGTCGGCTGTCGGCTCTTCCCGCCCCGCCCAGGCTTCGGCGGCGGCAGAGGCGTCCATCCGTGCAGGCGCCGCTGCAGAGAAGCGTTCCGGTACAGCGGTCGCATCCCAGGCCAGCAGGACAGTCGCAGAGCTGCACGCAGAGCAGATGATCGTAGCCGGGCAAGGAGCGCCTTGGCTGCAGCCGGAGTTCGCACAGCTCCCTTCCTCAGCCGGCTGCTGGAGGCACGGCCCAGCCCCATCTGCGTTGTTGCTTGTGCTGCCTCAGCACTGGCGCCCCGTGAAGAGGTGTTAGGGACAACGCAGCAAGCTGTCCAGCAGTTGGCTTTCTCTCGCAGTGCTGTAGTGCCCGCGTGCTTCTCAGGGCTGCTGCGTTGCCAAGGGTTTGTCCAGTGCCGCCTCTGCCGCTTGGCTCCCACCTCCCAGAGCTGCTTCATCTCTACACAGGCCGCGAGAAGCAGGGCAGGCTGATGTGCAGGGATCATCACCAGTTGGTCTGCATTGCTGCCCGCCACACCAAGACCTTCATCTCCCCGCACAAAGGCCTGCACAGCCGCACTGAGATCCGAGAGAGCTGCTTCCTCTCCTCACCCCAAGGACAAGCGGTTCCTGCTCGGCGTCGTTCCTGCTCAGTGTGCTCCCACAGCTGCCTTGGCAGTGCGTGTGGGACCACTTTGCTCTGCAGCTCAGGGTGCGTTGGGTTGTGCTGCCAGCACAGAGCCTGCTGTACAGAAGCAGTGTTTGTCTGGAGGTGGATGAGCAAGAACTGTGAGAACTAATCAGTGCTCGGCTCCAGCCCTCAACGCTTCTTTCTCAATGAGCAGCTGCTGCCCAGCAGCCTTTGCTGGTGACACTTTGCAGCTTTTCCAATGCTTTGACTGTCACTTATCAAAGGTAAAACTCTATTGGAGGCATACTGAGGCCAAGTCCAAGCTTGTCCTGAAACTTGAGCTCCACAGAGCCGTATGCCCACAGTGTCTGGTGTTCTTCTGAGTCCCATCCATGTGCACCTGACCATGGACTTTGACAGGCAATTAGTCAGCATCCTGTGTTTTTTTCTCAGTGACAAATCTCAGGTTCTGTCTACACCCTCTTACCAGTAATCCAGATCATCAAAATCTGTGAGCACACGCAGCCCCCTTCCCTCTGTGCTGCTCTGCACTGTGCTGGGCTCTCCCTGTGCAGAGGTCTCACTCCTCATGGCACAGCGCAGCAGCAGGCCCGAGGTTCTGCCCTCTGCACAGTAGCTTTGCAGAACATGCCCATGAGCACCAGCACTAGTGAATTCTTGTCTGTAGCCACCTTCCATGGCTGCAGCCAGCATGGAGTGACAGCCCCTCCTGCTGATGTGTCCCATCACATCCTTTTCAGGACCTACTGCCACCCGAGCCTTTGCCCCCAGGTCTTAGTCCCCACGTGCTGCCTTCTGCCACAGCTAGTCTGGCATCTCTGCTGGACTTGGTGGGACAGTTCTCAGCACCAGTGTTTCTGTTTCCCCATTTGTTTCTCTCGGGCAGGCGTCCTCCTGCATCCACCCTGTAACCTGGCAGGGAGAAACCCAGCTGACAGCTGAGTCTGAGCAACTGTCACAGGCCTCACATGACAGAGCCATTTTCTTCTTGATGTAGCTTTCCCCATGCTCTGTAGGCTGTCTTTACTCTCTTCAGCCTGGATGAGTGGCTTAGACTGCTGCAGGATATCCGGAAGATTCCCACTATAATCACAGAATTGCCAGGGTTGGAAGGGACCTCAAGGATCATGAATCTCCAACCCCCTGCCACATGCAGGGCCACCAACCTTCCCACCTAATGCTAGACCAGGCTGCCCAGGGCCCCATCCAATCTGGCCTTGAACACCTCTAGGGATGGGGCATCCACAGCCTCTCTGGGCAGCCTGCTCCAGTACCTCACCACTCTCTCTGTAAAGAATTTCCCCCTGACGTCCAACCTAAATCTCCCTTCCCTCAACTTAAAACCATTCCCCCTTGTCCTGCTGTCACTCACTCTTTCAAAGAGTTGATTCCCCTCTGGTCTGTAGGCTCCCTTTAGGTACTGAAATGCTGCAATGAGGTCACCCCACAGCCTTCTTTTCTCCAGGCTGAACAAGCCCAGCTCCCTCAGCCTGTCCTCATAGGGGAGGTGCTCCAGTCCCCTGATCATCTTTGTGGCCCTCCTCTGGACCCTCTCCAACAGCTCCCTGTCTTTTTTGTACTGGGGGCTCCACATTTGGACGCAGTACTGCAGATGGGGCCTCACAAGAGCAGAGTAGAGGGGAACAATCACCTCCCTGTCCCTGCTGGCCACCCCTCTTCTGATGGAGCCCAGGATACCATTTGCCTTCCGAGCCGCAATAAACAAGACCACTGTAAACAAGACCATCAGTGGAGCCTGCGCTGCGGTCTGGATACTGATTGTGTCTTTCCTTGCAGAACGTCGTTGCAGCCACCACTGGTGAGTGCTGGTCCAGACTCAGCCACCGACCCCCCCGTACTCCCCAGACACCTCGAAGGGCGCTGCTCTGTCCGAGCAGCAGCTCCGGGCTCCTCAAAAGGAGGAGGACGCCTTCCTCCCACCCACCGCCTTCAGATAAACGAGGGCTGCCGGGCCGCGACTCCCGCCGCCGTCGCTCCGTTACTCGGGGACCCGCTGCTCCGCGCCGCCCCGGTGCCGGCAGAGGGCGCTGCGGAGCTTCCCGGTAGCGGCGGGCGGGGTGCGGGGGCACGGCCGGTCCCCAGCCTACCGCTCCGGAGGGCTGCCCGGGGGCTGAGCCGGGACCCGGCGCTGCGCACCGCCCGGCTGCCGGCTGCTCTGGGCTGGGCCCGGCGGTGGGGGGAACGTGGTGCCGTGCTGAGGGGCGTCTGCTGGGCTGGATGTGGGGAGCTGCGGCAGCTTTTGGGATCTGTGCGGGGTGCGGTCCCGCGGGGCCGTGCCGTGCCGTGCCGTGCCGTGCCAACCACCCGCCCGAGTGCCGCTGTGCTGCGGCTGCCGCAGACCCCGCGCTTGGGCCGCCCGGGCACCGAGCGGGGAGAGCCGGGGCTGCGGGACCGGGAGCCGCCTGCTGGTGGTGCTGGGACGGCTGCTCTGCGGGCGGCCGAGATACGGGGCCGGGACAGCTGGGAGCTCTCCGGGTCGTACCGCGCAGTTTTGCAAGGGAACGGATGGCGCCTGGCCCCGCTGCCCGGTTCGTGCTGCTCCTCGGGCCGTGCCCAGCAGGAGCTCCTTTCTGCTGCCTCCTGCCCAAACCCAGGCCTCCAATGGCTGCTCTGCGGACAGCAGCACTGTGCTATCCCTGAGCAGAGCTGTGTGTATGTCTGTGTGTGTATGCGTGAGCGCTGTGAAGGGCTCCCAGCAGCAGTGTGGACACGAGCCCTTCCTGTGGACCACCAGGCTGGCACACTCTGCTCTGATGGTGCTTCCTTTCCTGCAGGCAGAAGCAGAGACAGAGCCAGGCCCCAGCTTGGCTCTCCTCTGCCTGCTCGCAAACCGGTGATAGGCACCCAGCCCTGCTCCCTGCATGCCTGCAGCAATGCCAGGAACATTTTCCAAGCCCCTCCTGTCTTATCCTGCTGCTAGCTGTCCCCAGGCTTCCCGCCCCACGGCCACATGCAGCCCCTGGGGCCCCACAGAAGCAGTGACCTGGGAAAACCTAGGGAGAGCTGCTCGAGGATACCTAGACCCATCTGTGTGCCCTTATGCAGGCACAGGGCCGTGTGAGGTAAGGAGCAGAGAGAGCCAAGGCTACAGCAGCACATCTTTATGGGGTCTGGCCTGGCTCTGTGCAAAACAGCGCAGCGACATGCTGGGCACAGTGATGGCATAAGCTATGGGGGAAGCTGGGTTCTGTAGGGCTGGCGCTGCTTCGGCGTGGCTCAGTGCCGGAACTGTGGCACTGGGGATGGGATGCGAATGTCCTGACCCTTTTCCAGCCGCCGCTCACAGTCGATCAGGTAGTTCACACCGTCTATCACCAGCTGCACCAGTTCCACCTGCACCAGGAGCACAAAGTTCTGACTCCAGGCTGTCCTGGCCCCAACCACCCCCCCGAGCCATGCTGAGTGAAGGGCACCTACTGCACCCATGGAGCACAGTGCCCCCAGTCCCCACTGCTGGCATACAGCTGCAAAGCTGTTCTGGCACTGAGGTGTGCGCACGTTTTCCCAACTGCCCTTGCCAAGAGCAGCTCTGCCCCTCTCCCACCTCTGACTTCCCCAGCCGGTCCAGGTTGGAGATGTCAAAGACATTGCCGGTGGCTGCTGTGTCCACACCGCCTGTCCCACGCTTCTGTAGCCGCAGGTTCTCCAGGATCTTGGGGAAGCGGCTGTCCTGGTGCCCAGAGAAGGTGTCAGTGATCAGCAGGACCATCAGCCGCAAGCTCCCCAGGGCTGCCCTCCCACACCCTGCAGCACCCTGTCTGCAGCCCTGCAGTCCCTTCCCCAAGCAGATCCCACTCAGCACTCATGTGCCTGGCCCCTCCAGCTGCAATATGGGCACCATGCGCTGTTCTGCTCCCCTGTGTGATCCCAAGCAGCATCCAGGGCTGTGCCGCACAGTCCTTTCATCCTGGCAGGGCTGGGCTCTCTGTGCCTGCAGCTCCGGCTCTCCCAGCATCATCCACAGTCATTACCTTGCTGAGCAGTGGCAGCTTGATGTGGACACCCGCCCGCAGCCCAGTGCCCAGGTTGGAGGGGCAGGTCAGGATGTAGCCTAGCCTCTCATTCCACATGAACTCCCAGCCTCGCTCCTGGATTAGTCGCTCCACCTGGGTTAGAAGCACAAAAAGCAGCTCAGCCCCCAGCCCAGCCCTCAGCGTGGTGCTGCCCAGCTCTGAGGCTGCGAGGGACACAAGTCTTGCACGGCCCCCATCCGCAGGGCTGACAAGGTAGCGCTGAGGTTTCTCACCTCCTTCAGGCCCCGGCAGAACCGCTCAAAGACACGCTTCATGTTACCACCCTTCTCCATGGAGATGACGCGCGTGTGATCCTCCTCGTTGATCCAGATCAGGAAGGTCTTCTCATTGTTGTGCCTGCGACAGGGCAGTGCTCAGCTGTGCGGGGGCTGGTAGAGCCCTGTGCCCACGCAGCCAGCAGCAGCAGCCCCGCAGCGCCCACTCCACTGCTGTTAAGGGGGTGAGCACACAGCCTGGCGGTGTGTGGGGCGTGTAGGTGTGCTGGGAGCGGGAGGGAGAAGCAGCTGTGACCGGGTAAGTTTGGGGGCGGGTACAGCGTGCAGAGTGGGGTGAAGCACTGGGCATTGTCTGGGAAGCAGCCAGCAGGCACAGGTTTTTGGCAGGAGAGGGAATGACGTGCTGCAGAGCAGGCAGGGCTGGCAGGAGGGCCAGGGATGGCTGCGGAGCTGCCCGCTGCCGTGCAAGGTGCTGCGGGTTGCGCAGGGAGCTGCTGCCCCCGGCTCTGCGCAGCTCCATGGGCTGCAGCCGGCGATCGGAAACCAGGCTGGGGGTGGGCAGGGAGAACACAGCCATGGACACAGAGCTGCGGAATGGCAGCCTGGAGACAGCGGAGTCTGTGGGGCGGGAGCGCGGGCGGGGACAGCAGGATGGAGCAGCAGTGCCCTCCTCCTCCTGCCCTGTTGGCGGCCCGGCGCCAGGCAGGTCCTCACCAGATGCCTCGGGCGTCGGGCCAGTCCCGGGCCATTCCTGCTGCCGTCAGGAGCGGGGACACCGGCTTGTCAAAGAGGAAGTGGTCCTGCAGGGACACAGCGTGTCAGCAGGGCACATGGCGGATACCGGGGCACCGTCCCTCTGGTCCCCGTGCACCACACAGGAGGTGAACATCACTGGCTGTCCCAGTGCAGAGCCTGTGGGCGTGCAGTCCTCACAATGCCAGCGGAGCAGCAGCCGTGTGCCACGCACTCGCCTTTCCCGGGGCACGTGGAGGGACACAGGGCGGGAGCCGGAGAGCCCCGTGAGCTGCTGGGCCACATTCAACTCCATCTTCTAATGAGTGGGGCCCTGAGCAGCCTCTGCAGCATGGGGTAACCGCACTGGGGACAGTGCCTCGGTGCTGCAGGGCTTGGGGTGGGGAATGGAGAAGTGGTGGGAACTGGTGCCAGGATGGGGTCCTGCCGGGGCTGCCCGACTCACATCAATGAGCTGCTGCTGCTCCTTCTCTGTCATCTCGCTGAGGCGGTAGTAGCGGCCCGACAGGTCCCCTGTGAGGCCGTTCAGAGCCTCCACCGTCACCTTCTCCACCTCCCTCCGCTCAGCGCGGGTGCAGGCGGGTGGAAGGCTCAGCCCACGGATGCTGCGCCCGGTCCGGACCCGGGACGAGAGCACATAGCGCTCATCGAAGTGGCCAAACTTAATCTAGAACAAACATGGGACATTGGCAGGCAGAGCTAGCACTGAGCATCACTGTCCCCAAGGCCGGGGCACACCGCAGCATGCCCACCTTGGAGGCATCCAGGTCCGTGACATGCTTCATGGTGCGGGGGTTGTACCCGTTGTGCCGCTCCTGGATCACAGGGTCGAACAGCTCTGCAAACACCTGGAGGGAAGCGGGACAGGGCAGCTCTTCAGAACCAGTGCCATGCGGAGCCCTTTGGGGGATGTGGCAGGTGCCCTATGGAGCCTGGAGTGTGGCAGGACCCTGGCCATATCTCACCTCATATGTCTCCTCATCACCAGCCACCATGCCCACCGTCTTGATGAAAGGGTGGCCTGGGTTGTCCACGCCGGTCTGGATGCATTGGTCCAAGGTCCAGCCGTTGGGGGTGGCTTTGTCGCAGAGCCTCGCGTAGATGGCTGGCGTCAGGTTGCTGGCCATGCAGTTGTTGTGTTTCCGCAGGTCGGGGTACTCAGCACTGCGAGAGGAGGCACCAATGAGCCTCTGTGTCCAGCAGTTTTTTGCCGAGTCTGACTGGGTTGGAGCTCATTTCCCCACTGCCGCCCACAGTGCTGTGTGTTACCCCCATAGCTATGATGGCACTGATATGGCACCAACGTCCTGTCTCCTACTGAGCAGCACTGGCACAGCACCACAGTCCTCCCCAGTCCTGCAGAGCCTGGGTATGGGCAGGAGGTGGGGGGGGGACGTCCCTGGGGCAGTTGGCCTAACCCAACCGAGGCATATTCTATACTGCATGCATTGCATTCAGCAATAAAAGCTGGGGGCAGGGAGGAGGAAGGGCTCCAAGTGACTCTGTGTATCCCGAGGTCCTGATTCCCAAGGCTGAGCATTGCTTGCTGATGGAAAATCAAGAATTTTTTTTTTCTCCTTTTACTTCTGCGTGATCTTTGTTCTTTTTTTTCCCTTCCATTAAACTTCTCTTTATCTCAACCTGTTAAGGACCAAGCCGCAAATTCAGTCACTCCTTCCCTTTCCTTGGGTGAGTGCAACACCTACGAACTTTTTTTCCTGGTATTTTCTCCCTCTTGTCTCCCTGGGCAGTGGGAGTGAAGGCAGTGGGTGCTGCTGAGTGGCCATCAACTGCCATCCACCCCAGGTTCCAGTGGTGCCCCTGCCCTATGGAGACCCCCGTAGCAAGGTGGGCAGGGAGAGCTGTGCTGTCCCCACAAAGACAGCTGCTGGCATCGCATGGGAGCAGAGAGCAGCCCAAGATGATGGCTGCCACGAGGACAAGAGCCCATGAGCAAATCTGGCTGGTGCTCAGGGTGCAGCTCCTTATCAGCTGTGTACCAGGGCTTGGTGCTGGGAGTGCTTTGTGGCAGGCAGCCATGTCAGCCACAGCCCCACGTAGTGCCTGGGCATAGGGCTGCCAGCTCCAGGCTGTGCAGGGTTTGCTCTGTTCTGCACAGCGCAGGGCAGCTGCTCCTGCTGTGCCTCTGTCAGTGTTCAGGTCTGTGTGTCTGCACGCAGCCCTGGGGGCTCTGACCCCACACAGCCCGGACGCTGTAGGGCAGGAAATGGGCTGACCCTGATCTGCAGCTGGTGGGAACTGCACTGCTCTGGCGCAGTTTATTGTATTAGGGGGATGCTTTCTTCTAATCAGCTTAGCGGGAGGCCGTCTCCTGACCTCATTCCCACTTTAGCTGGGCTTTGTGCTTGTCCTGTGCTCACAGGGGAATTGGTGGAGCAGGACTCGACTGCACTCTCCTTGGCCAAATCCCTCCCACTGGAGGTACCATTGTCTAGAGTGGGACAGAAGCAGCCCTCCCCAGGTCGGGAGGACTGGACAGTGGCCAGGGATATCTGGCCTCTCTTCCTCAGGGAGGCACAAGCAGCTCAGGAGGAAGCAGAGGTGCCAGGTGCAGACATGAATCTGTGGCAGTAGTGGCAGCAGCCAATCACTGTCACCGCCACCATCTCCAAACACCTGGCCCCATGCTGCTGTGCAGAGCTTGCCATCTCCAGCCCTGAGACTGCAGTCCGGGAGTGCACATTGGCCCTGTGCCTATGGCTTGGCTGTTGCTTGTGGCTTCCGGAGTTTGCAGAAAGAAAGGGAGGCTGGGCTCATGGTGCTGCTCTGCGTGGGGAAGCACTGGCTCCAGCCTGTCCCCTTGCATGGAGGTGTTTGCTCTGGGCAGAGCCAGTCCCAGGCTGGGCTGAGGCTGCTCCCCATCCTACGCACATATCTTTGCTGTTTGAGTTGCTCTTGCTCAAAGGATGCCTTGTTGCATGTGGGATGCAGCCTGCTCAGCCTCTTTTGTTGCTCCTGCCATTGGCTGGATGCGGACCCATGTCTCCCCAGTGTGAGACACTCTCATAAAAAGCATTCGCTGCTCAGAAAGGGACAGTTGGACTTGTTCCTTCCCTGCCTCCAGCACTGCCCAGTGTGCCAGGACTGCAGCTCACTCTGCTTCCCACCCTGCTGCCAGCAGACTGCATTCAGAGCCAGCAAAGGTTGCTAAGGCAAGCAGGCTTGCTTGCAGCCAGAAGGAGGCTGTATTAGGTTTAAGCATGCTGTCTGCTATAAGCAGTCCTTAGCCCCACTGCAAAGGGTTCAGAGACTTAAAAGCTCCAGGATCTGCGCCTGCTGCAGTGCTGATTTAGCTCCGTCCTGAGCAGACCTTTTCCCAGAGCAGTCCTGAATCGCAGCCAGAAGATTTGGGCAATCTCTTTTCAGCCTTTCCAGAGCACCCCAACTAAGCTTCATGGGGGCAGGATAAGCAGAACATCACAGGGAATGACAGCGTTATACACTTGGTGCTGTGCTCATGGCCAGCAGAGCCCGAGCAGAACTGCACAGGAAGCCAAGGGCCAATGATGCTGCTCTCGCCTAGCAGTCCAGGTTTCCTCTGCCACAAGCGGGAAGGGGTCACCACACTTGGCCTTTCAGGGTTGCTCTCCCCTTGGTTTTGTTCCCCAAACCCAGTTGTAGAACTGTGCTTCATGCTGTTCTGTTCCCAGTGCCCAATGCTGAGTTGCAGGTGCATTCCCAGTGGGGTCCCCAGCCCTGGAGGCCACGAGCTTTTCCAGCAGAGATGGAAGGGCAGGGCAGCAGGGAGGAGGCACCTTGCTGTCAATGCAGCACCATGGCCCTCTGTACTTCAGGACAGGGCTGCTTGCAGTGCCCTCTGTGCCCTTGCAACCAGGGGTTCTGCACTGGGAAGGAGACTGCTCAGTGCACAGCAGGTACTGTGGGTCTGCTCACGTTGCTGCACCTCCCACAGCTCTCTGCACTGATCCAGCAGCCTTTTCCAGTGCCCTTTCCAGCGGCACCAACTGTTGCTTTCACAGCCGCGGGGGTCACTCCTTCACTCCTCACCCAGGCTCAGGGCCGCCCCCCACCCCTCAGGTCTCGCCAGGCCAGCACGCGGCCCTCAGCATCCCCACCCGATGCCGACCCGATGTCTGCGGCCCTGCGGCCGCTCAGAAAGCTCTCAGTGCAGCGCTGCTGGGGGGGTGAACAGTCAGCACCACGCGGCCGTTATCATTCACTCCGTTTCCATTTCGTTTTCACGGCCCGGTCTGGCGCCGGCTCTCGGCACGGCGCTCTGCACGAGCAGCGCTCAGCCTGCAATGCAGAGCAGCACCGCGCGCTGCCGGCACGCTGTTTGCTGCAGGATCGCAGCAGCCGCGTGCGTTTGGAACAGCAGCGCTCTGCCTCCTCCGTTCCGCACCTTCCCCCACACCATCTCTGCCGGCAGCGGGACGGGGGTACCCGCTCCTCACTCCCCGACCACCGCCGGGCTGTGCCGGGCTGCTGCCAGCCGCAGCCCCTGGCAAGGAGCGGTATGAAGGGCGCAACGTGAGACCTTCGGCTCTGGAGCTGCAGCCTCGGCATTGCTGCACCGCTCTGACGCGACCAGCGGCTCCAACAAAGCCGCGTCACCCCAAAAGCACCCGTAAGCCAGGCGGGGCACCGCGCCCACTCCAAGCGCACTCCTCAGAGCTCATCTCTGAAACCGCCAGCGCAGCACGAATGACTGCGCCGCAGCCTTGGACCTCCGTTCTTCCTCCGCCCCGAGCTGCGAGGGCGAGGCCCTGTCGGGAAGCCCCTTGCTCCTCTGACGACCGCGTCGAGCTTGGGCTGTGTCTGTTCTCGACATCCTCGCGGTGCCGTCCCCGACAGACTGAATCCTGGTTCCCCGCCCCGCACGGGCCGATCACGGACCTCGGCAGGACCCTTCCGCAGCCCTGGGCCAAGGGGCAGCGCTTTGCCCCAGCTCGGCCGGCCCCGGGCTCCCCGTTCCCGACCCGGGCGCGGCGCGGCGGTGTCGGTGCCGCCCCGCGGGCCGGGGGCCGTCTCCCCGCTGCCTTAAGGTAGGCACGGACCCGGTTCCGGGAGCCCCGCGCCCCGGCGTGGCCGTAGGGGTTGCGCGGCCCCGCCCGGCGAAACGGTGCCCTTGGAATCGGGGACGGCGGATCCCGCAACCGCGACGGGGCCGCGTCGTGCCCGTTCCCGGACGCCCGAGGCAGAAGGGTTTGGTCCCGCCGGAGGAGTCAGTCCCCCCCAACGAGGCGCGGCTCTGAGACGGGGGCTGATCGCGACCTCGGTCACTGCCGCCCTGGGCTCGGGATGCCTCGGGGAGCTGCGGGAGCCCCGCGCCCTCTCCCCCAGTGCCGCGGCCGCGGGAAGCAGCCCCCGTCCGCCGCCGCCCCCGCACGTGCGCCCCCGCCGCCCGCTCCCGGTACCTGGGCGGGTAGCGCCGCCGCTGCCGCTCGCCGGCGCTGACCGTGTCCCGGGCGAGCAGAAAGCCGGCGGCGAGCGAGCCGGCGCCCACCATGGCCAGGAGCCCGGCGGAGCGGCGGGCGGAGAGAGCGCGGGCGAAGGTGCTGGCCATCGCGGAGCAGGGAGCGAGCGCGGCGGGGGCCGGCGGAGGACGTGATGGGAATGGGAACGGCGGCGGCGGGAGGGCGCACGGGGGGCGGGGAGCGGCGGCACGGGGCGGGGGGGTGGGGGGGCACTGCCACCTGCTCGGGCCGCCCCGCCCCGCCCCAGGGGCCGCCGTCGCCTTCAGCACCGCGCGTCGGACAGCGCCGGGGGCCGCGCCCGACCGGACCGGACCCCGAGCACCGGGCGACGGGCATCGGCCGGCGGGGCTCCTGGCCCGGCCCCCGCGGGGACTTCAGGCGGGCGCGGCATAGCGCGAAGGCGCGGCCGGGGCAAAGTCCGCGCACCTGCGGCCGGGAGCGGCGGGGAGCGTGGCCTGGGACGCCTTGCCCGACGGCGCAGGGCCGGGTAGGGGGCCGGGCCGGGCCGGGCGGGCGGTGCGGGGCGGCCCGGGCTGAGAAGGGCGGCCATCACCGCCGCTTTGCCCCTCCGCCGCCCTCGCACGCCGAGGACGGCCGGGCCGGGGATGCCGGCCCGCGCACACAGCGCGCTCGGCGTCGAGCGGCCCCGCGCTGAGCCGCACGCATGGCCGTTGGGACGGGAGCGGCAGCCCGGCACGGATCAGGTCCCGCGGTCCGCTCTTGCAGGAGGGTCCCGGAGCAGCGGGCCCGGCGCCCGGTTGCCGTGGTAACGCGGGAGGCGGCACCGCGGCGCCCGCTGCAGAGCTCGCGCCCACGTGCACGCAGCGCCGCCCGCCGCCACCAGGTGCCGCCACGCCGCGCCCGGCCGTCCCGCCCTCACGCTCCCATTGGCTGGCGGCGGCCGTCAGCGCGTCGCGATTGGTCGCTGACGGCGTCGGCGGCGCAGGGTGAGCTCGGAGGCCGCAGGTGAGCGGAGGGAAATGGCGGCGCCCGGCGTGGCGCCCCCTGCTGCCATCGGCGGGGCGGGGCGGGGCGGGAGAGAGCTCCGTGAGCGGGGCCGGGATCGGGGAGACCGCGCCGGGGGCGACCGCGCCGGGCGGGCGGGAGAGGAAGGCCGAGGCCGTGCATCGCTGCCGGGCCCCGCTCTCCGGGCGGCGCCGGTGGGGGTCAGCGCCGCTCCTCGGTGCGGGCCCGGTTCCTCCCGCGGTTCCTTCCCCGCCCCCCGCCAGGACGGCCGCCCTCGGTCCGCCCGCAGCCCTCGAGCCGTCGACAGCGCCGTGGCCCGCGCCGAGCGGCCGTGCTCGGAGCTCTGCGGGCTGCGCTCTCCCGCGGGCCCCGCGGCGGCCGTTCCGTCCGCGCCGCTCTCCGCCCGCGCGGGGCTCCGCTCTGAGCCCCCGCCGCGTCGACCCCGCGCGCTCCTCCGCCCCCCTCGGGGCTCCGCGGGCCGCGGGAGCGCAGCGCGGGGCGGGGCGGGGCGTGCGGTGCAGCGCGTGCAGCGGTAGAGCGCTGCCAACCCGCAATAAAGGAGTGCTGACATTCCCGGCATCGCTGCGCTTCTTTACAGCCGTCCCGGCTTTAAAATCTTCAGGAAGTCCTGCTTTCCTCTCCGGTTCGCTGATAAATCGTTATTAACGGTTACGTGCCCGAGGAGGCTGTGGATGCCCCATCCCTGGAGGCATTCAAGGCCAGGCTGGATGTGGCTCTGGGCAGCCTGGTCCTGCTTGGCGACCCTGCACGTAGCAGGGAGATGGAACTGGATGAGCATTGTGGGCCTTTGCAACCCAGGCCATTCTCTGATTCTTCGATTCTCTTAGGTATTCCGGTGCTGTGACGTGTCGCACGTAACGATCCCATAAATCTGATGACAAAAGCCGTAAGAATAATGCTGTGAGAAGGGAGCGGAGCCACGCAGAGCTGCGGGCTGCAGGACGGCCATCGGGTCGCTGTGTTTGCTGTTACTGATGGGGTGGTATATTTAGAGCATGACTTCAACTTCTGAGCACATTGAGCTGCTGTGGTAGTGTGGAAGGCTTCCTTTTAACACAACAGGTCCAAACGGTGTGTAATTATTAACTCTGGCTGTATGGGCATTTTATCTGAAGCGATTCAGCATTGACGTGGCACAGGCTTTGATAAGAGCGTGGCTTTCACCTTTTGTGTGTAATGAACCTTCATTCAAATAGTGATTGTGACAATGGGAGCAGCTGCTGGGGCACAGATCCTCTGCACACCGTGGGTTTGGGATGGAGGCTGAGCAGTGAGGTGGTGGTTTCATGTGGGGTTTTTTCAGTTCCTGCAGCAGCTGCCAGTGGTTCAGTGCCACAAGTCCAGTGTCAGTATCTCAAAGTGCCAGCCATGTGCTTTGGTTGTACTCTCCCTTTCATTAGAACAGCCCGACACAGCTGGGTTTGTTCCCCCCAGGAGCACTGAGGGGATGATGCCTGGTGTGGCCTTTGGCTTTGGTGGCCATTGGGGTTTTCACTGTGTTTCGGTGTGCCTCCAGAAACGGCCACAGACCAAAGCAGAGCAAAGCAAAGATTATCATCCTTTTTTTTTTTTCCTTTTTTTTTTCCTTTTTTTTTTTTTTTTTTTCTCTAGGCTGGAAGCAGAGAACTTGTAGCGTTCTGAGTTCTTGGGGCAAAGGTTTTCCTGCTGCTCGGTCCATTTTGTCCAGGAGGGAGGGGAGAGCAAATGATTGGAGAAAGCAATCCTCCTCCTCTTTGCTTCATTAAATTCTCATCCACAGAGCTGACAGTGCTTGGTACGGCCGCACCGTGCTGCTGTGCAGGGCAAAGGGGTGGCACTGCTCCTGGGGATCTCCTCCTGTCCGTGTGTGCAGCAGTGGGGTGGCACAGTGAGCACCTGCACAGCTGTGCTGCTGCGCTGCCGCCGACACAGACTGCATCCCGGCAGTAAGTGCTGCTGGTTGGGCTGTGTGCGTGCTGTGAGTGCTCCAGGTGTGCGTGGGGTGCTGGGCTCTGTGCACTGCGTGAGCTGGGAGTGGGGCAGAGGAGTCCTGGTGTGGGAGGTGACAGCTGGGCTGTGTCACTTTGTGTCACCCCACGTCACCTCACTCTGCCCAGGGCTCCCCATGGCTGCAGAGCACTGCGCGCCTCCTCCTGTCTTCTCTGAGTGCCCCTCTGCATGGAGGCACGCCTGCTTTTTGTCCCTATTTTCAGGGGGATTGCAGAGGCGATTGGATCGCTGTCTGTTCCTTTTTCCTGTTGCCAGCCTGTTTGGATTCTTGCCTGCAGGCCGGTGGCATTTGGGTACATCTCTGCTTTGTGGAGAACTGGCAGGGAGGAGTGGGCACCCATGTTGCGTGTGGAGCACGCTCTCCTGTGGTGTATGGACTGCAGGGGTGGCTGTGCTTAGAAGGCGCTTCAGCTGCCAGTCTGAGGAAGGCTGGAAATCATGTGAGAGCATGAGGAGCAGAGGGAGAGTGCATCTCGTGCCCGTGTGTAGGAAATAAGAGATGAGGTGTTTGCTAAGTCATCTTCTCAAGGCTGCACTTCCTGTGCTGGGACAGAGGGAGGAGGGAGGGGGGCTTTTCTCTAATTCACAGCTGAGGAAGCCAAGGTAAAGGGCAGCCACTCAGCATTTCTGAGTGTGCAACTATGGGCAGAGGTGAACAGCTGTGTCCTTGCTCGGGGGAGGTCACACGTACGTGCATTCAGCTCAGCCGCTCGCATGGCAGTCTGTGCTGCTCCAGGACACGCTCCTTTCCGGTGTTTTTGACGCACAGTTTGTGTCCTGCTGACCAGACCCCCTGCTCACAGGTAAATCACAGCCAACCCTCCAACTTAGGAGCCCTGGGCTGCAAACCGAGCTGCTAACCTGCAAACTCAGCTGTTGCTGCTGCTTCCTCTGTGTCCTCTTTCTCCAAAGTTGTCACTTTGTCCTTTTCCTTCCTCCCCCCTAAACTCACATGCCTCTCAGACAGCTTGCTCTTACTGTCTCTCTGTTGTTGCAGATCTTCTTGAGCTAAAAGGATGAAAATTGGCTATTGGAAGGCCACTGTCACTCTGCTGAGCTTCATCCCAACTTCTGCGTCCCAGCTGATGTCTCTGGGTGCACAAGGCTGTGAGTATGTCCCCTGCCTCATTCCATGATTCAGACGCCCCATTCCATGATTCAGACGCTGCCTGGAGCATGCATCACTGTAAGGGTTAAACTAATTCCACTGAGCACTGCCACTGCCCCTTTCCTGGCTGATGCCAGAGGGCTCTCTGCACAACGGAGCTCCTTGTCCAAATGGTTTTGGATCCCACTCTCACCCGAGGGTCTCTCCTGCCCACCGCTCCCTTTAGGCCTTGCCCCTTGTGCTCTGTGCAGCACAGCCCTGGGCTCGCTCCCTCCCAGCCCCTGCTCCTTCCCTGCTCCCAGCAGCACCAGCCCTGGCCCAGCCCTTCTTCACCACTGTTTGTGCACTGTGGTTCCAGAGCGGGATGGTCGGCCACCGGCGCTGCCATGTCGTCCCTGACGACCTCCAATGAGGGAGAGAACCCCGCTCCCCGGTTTGTAGTCGGTTCCCGGGACGATGAGACAGACTTCCTGGGATCAAACACAAAGATGGATGAAACGGACTTCTTTGAAGATGATGAAGAGGAGGAGTCGGTAAGGACTCCCAGCATCCGGGGCTGTGCCTGCACAATTTCTGAGGCTGTGAGGGCTGCAGGGCCATGGCCCTGGGCAGTGTGGCAGAGCCATACAGAGGGGCAGCACCATTTCTGGCATACTGTTGTGCTGCCAGACCTGGTGCTTCTGACTGCAGTAAATCCCAGCCTGTTGGCTTGCAGGTCTCTTCCAGCTACAGCAGCAGATTTCCTTCTGCTAGCAGCTTAACCCCAGCATTGCTGTAAGCCTTTCTAATTCACCAGGGATTTTTTTGAGGAAAACTGTGGGAACTATGAGCAGGGCAAAGAGATTTCTGCAGCGGAAGCATTTGCTCTTTTCTGTAGCCTCCAAAAACAGGCTGCAGAAAAGGAGAACCTTTTCCAGCTCCTGACTGCTTTTGGCTTCTGTTCAGCCCACCCTTTCAGTCCCCTCAATGGCCTCTGTAAGAAGCTTCTGTTTGGAGGTGCTTCCTTCATCCTTCCTTTTGGTGGGCTGAATGAAGGGACTGAAGCTTGTTCCCAGGGTGGGACGTAGGGACCTTGCAGAAGGTTAATCAGCCATTATCCTGTCTCTGTGCAGCCTCTGGGGGCTCACACGGGTATATCCTGCAGCACAGTTAGAAAATGTTGGCAGCAGCATATGCTGACCTCCTCCTTAGAGGCGAGGAAGTAGATTTTTCTGAAGACAATATGGAGGAACTGGTGTCTAGCTGGGACTTGTCACTGCACGACCTTTGGGCAAGGGCATGGCTGCGAGGCAGAGGAACTCTAACCTCTCATTCCCATGATTCATCCTGGACTTGTTGTTTCGGGTTGGTGATGATGGTGGTGGTGGTGGTGGAGGTGGGGCTTGGTTTGGAATGGGCTGAGCGGATTACTATAGAGTGGGGTGGAATGGCCCTCACTTCATTCCTGAGAAAATCACCTGTCCATCCCAGAGAAGCAGTGTGCTGCCTTGGGTACATTGAAGAGACATTTCCTCCTCTGGTTAAGAGGAGCTCCTCTTCCCCCATGTGGACGCTGTAGGGTTCTGCACAGTCCTTTGCTGCACGCATCTGGGAAGCATCCAGCATCTTTTGCTACAAAGCATTTGTAGCTCTTCTCTTAAGTCCTCTCATGTCTGTCAGCTGAATGAGTTCTGTGCCAAAGAACATGATGTGGGCTTCTTCCAGCCCTGCTGCATGTTCGAGTGCCAGATATTTATTTCTGACCTTAGCATTAGTACCCAGAGGAGGCATAATAGTGCCTGGCAAAGAAGCAGTGGTGTTTGGCTGCTCCTTCATGACATCCACCAGAGCAATCTGTTGGGAAGTGGAAGCGTGCATGATCTGAGTCTAGCAAGAGCTGTGAGCACTTAGGGTTGGAAGAAAATCCCGTGTTTGTTCTGTACTGCTGCACTTCCACTCTCTTGCAGTTTTAATTCAGTAAAGCAGCTGACCTGTGCTAACCTGCTCTGTGTCTTCTCCTAGCCGCCTGAACGGCAGATTGTTGTTGGAATCTGTGCCATGACCAAAAAGTCCAAATCAAAGCCCATGACGCAGATTCTGGAGCGTCTGTGCAAGTTTGAGTATATCACAGTGGTGATTATGGGGGAGGACATTATTCTGAATGAACCAGTGGAGAATTGGCCTCCTTGCGACTGCCTCATCTCCTTCCACTCCAAAGGTAAAGTCTGCAGTAGACCTCATCCTACCTAAGGTCTGGACAGGGGAGCTTCCTTCATTCTTTCCTTCCTTTTCCTGTATTTCAGGATTCCCGCTGGATAAAGCAGTTGCCTATGCCAAGCTGTGCAAGCCGTTCTTGATTAATGACCTTGATATGCAATATTATATCCAGGACAGGTAGGTGTCTGTGATCCAACAGAGCCCCTTCCCTCTTAGTCTAATTTCTCTTCTGGGCTTATTGTGCAATCTGCTTCTTCCGGACCACCAGCAAATGAGATGGAGATTATTTTAGCAAAGGGTTTTAGGGGTTGTTTTCCCATGACATGGAAGGGAGCAGTTCAGGTGTAAGCACATTGACAATTGGCATGTTTTGGTTGTTCTGATTCAAACGTACTGTAAGGATGTGTGAATCAGGCTGAATGACATCAGAAGTGGAAGTGGTCTCCCAGAATGAGGCTGTCACCGAGACATAGGTACTATCCTCTCAGTGGGCGAGCCAAGTGCTGGGATGGGATTCGGGGGCAGAAACTGGGAGCAGAAAGGCCAGGTCAGACCCTAAGGAAGATATGTTGGTGAAGCTCTTAAAGATGCTTTGCAGCCAGCTGGTGGTACAGACAGCTTGCAGACACGTACTGCACTCATACAGCCAGGCTGCATTGGCTGCACGTGTGGGCTAATGCTCGACACCAGAGCTCCCACCACGTCTCTGTGCTGTGAGCAGAGCTCCTACAAGTGCTGACAGGCACCCTGAAGTGTAACCCTTGTTAAAGAGCTTTACCCTTTCCAAACTTTTCTATACATTCTAACTGTTCCTGTCCTTCTCAGGCGTGAAGTGTATCGGATCCTTCAAGAAGAGGGAATAGACCTGCCCCGCTACGCTGTGCTCAATCGAGACCCTGACAGACCAGAAGGTAAGTGTCCAGGCTCTGCTGAAAGCAGCTTTTACAGACTGTACAGTTTAAGATATCCTGCAGAGACCAGGCACTGATATCAGCTCATGCAGGACTGATTTACAAGTCTGGTGGCTTTTGAGAACAGAGGTACAAGCAGCAGAACCAGCTCACCAGCCAGGACCAAGGGTTTCAGCTCTTCGCTGGGGCTGCCAGCCCTTGTCCTGCTGTGCCACTGCTCTGCTTTATCTTCAGAGTGCAACTTGGTGGAAGGAGAGGACCACGTGGAAGTAAATGGAGCTGTTTTCCCAAAGCCGTTCGTAGAGAAGCCCGTCAGTGCTGAAGACCATAATGTGTACATTTACTACCCAACCTCAGCAGGTGGGGGCAGCCAGCGGCTCTTTCGGAAGGTGAGGGGATTCCCCCCTTTCAGTGTTGGGACCATTAAATGTGTGGGACTGAAAGAAGCGTGTGGCTTCAGGAGGGAGTGCTGGGGCAGGTGAGAGGAAAGGAAAGTTTTGTTTTGGGGAAATCTGCACCTTCTCAGGACTTGTAGTTGAGCCCCATCTAGCTGGGAATTGCAGTACATTTTCTGGTGATGGTTCTGACTTCACCTTTACCACCTCCTGTCTGCTGTGTGTCCTGTGGGGCAGCCATGGAGAGCTGTGGCCCTTGTTGAACTGCAGACTGCTTTTTTTCCGAATCACTTTCTCAGTTTACTGCAAAAATTTTTTTTGATCTCTTCCTGTTTGCTATTTATTGCCCTTTTCAGCATGCTGCAACTTGCAAATGCAATAAATGCGCTATTTATTTCTAGATTCCACTGGGTATCTGCCTTACTCACTTGCACCACTTTGCCAGCACACAGTTAATAGCTGTGTTGCATCTTTTTTCCAGTCAGTTATGCATCTGCCATTAGCAATCTTGAAATGATTGTTTCCTTAGCTAGTGTACATGTATACCATTTGAGACTGTATACAAAACTTCACTGAAAAGAAAACACTGTGATCTTCTGGCCATAAGATCTGTCATACCACCCTAGAAAGATGTAAAATTGATCTGACAGTGAACCAGCAATGTGTATTATCACTTTCTTGCTAGTTACGCATCTTACTTTTTAAGTCTTTATCTGCTTTTTTTTGCACTATATCCCTGTAGCAATTGGTGTCAACCCAACAGTCTGTAATAGCCCTTCTCCTCTTTAAAGCCCAAACATACCTCCTGTCTGTCTTTTGGAGTCTGTTTTTCCTCCGTAAATGAGTATGCTGTGATAGCTGAGTGTTCTCAGAGATGTTCATTCAGTTTTCTGCATTTAGGATGAAACTTTCACTTCTTGTTCTTCCATCTAAGAAAAGCAGCCCCCTTGTCTTCCCTGAGATGCTTGTTCTGTGCTTTCAGATCGGCAGCCGGAGCAGTGTGTACTCCCCAGAGAGCAGCGTGAGGAAGACGGGCTCGTACATTTATGAGGAGTTCATGCCTACGGATGGCACTGATGTAAAGGTAAGGCAAAGCCTGGAGTGGCTCTGCCTGCGGGCCTGGGGTGGCTGAGGGCTGACGTTCCTACTGAGTTGGCTCTGAAGTATCGGTGTAAGCTGCGAGGTGCTGCTGTGCGGCTTGGATCCCAGAGTGGGGGACGGGTGTCGAGGCCATCTGCTCTTTTCCACGTGTCCTCAGTAGAAGTGTCTTCCGGACGGTGCAGTCAGTCTGGCTGGGTTGTCAGGTGTAACCAGATCTCTTCCCAGGTGTACACTGTTGGGCCCGACTACGCCCATGCAGAGGCTCGCAAATCCCCCGCGCTGGATGGGAAGGTGGAACGGGACAGCGAAGGGAAGGAAATCCGTTATCCTGTCATGCTTACTGCCATGGAGAAGCTGGTCGCTCGGAAAGTCTGCGTCGCCTTTAAGGTCTGTGTGTCGGGTCTGTGGGCTGGTTCTGTGTGAGCCTCGCCTGGCTGTGCATCTCCAGCCTGCCTGCTGAGCCACAGGGTGCTCACAAATGCTGTGTTCTGTGTTTCCTTGTGCAGCAAACTGTCTGTGGGTTTGACCTCCTGCGGGCAAATGGCCACTCTTTTGTTTGCGATGTGAATGGCTTCAGTTTTGTGAAGAACTCTATGAAGTATTACGATGACTGTGCCAAAATCCTCGGGTATGTAAAATTCAGGTTGTGCTGTGGGTGAAGGAGCCACAGCACAGTGTGCTGAGTGCAGAGTCCTGATGGTCCTGAGGGAGAAATCTGAGGGTGGTTCAGCCAGGGACTTTTCTTCAGAAAAGTTGGCTCTGGGTTCGTTACACCTGGAGCCTGAAGGGCCTGCACTGCCATCAGCCGTGTACGAATATACACAGATGTTCCTTCCAGGATATGTTCAGCGTTGGTTACTAAGCTCAGCTGCAGTGTTAATGGAGTGCAGTGCGTTGTGCAGTGATGTGGGGGGAAATCTGCGTTCCTTTGGACAGTGCCCTAACTAGCCTGTGGTGTGCTGGATGTGTCTGCACAAAGAAGAGGAGAAGCTCTGTCTGTGGTTCTCAAATCTTTCAGCAGAACCACCAAGCAAGAGGTGGAGAGCCAAGGGAATGGAATTTCTTGTGAGTTTTACATTCTGCTTTCTTCCAGAAACATAATCATGCGGGAATTGGCTCCTCAGTTTCATATTCCCTGGTCCATCCCAACAGAGGCAGAAGATATTCCTATCGTCCCCACGACTTCTGGCACCATGTGAGTACCTGCCTTCTTCTCAAATGCCCAGGGCAAAAACTGTCCAAGAGACAGATGTCACCCAGCAGCACTGTGTTCTTCAGCTGCTATGCTGGGACTGAAAGAACAATGGGAAGTAACTCCCCAGTGACAGTTCTGGTGTGTACGGTCACATTTGTGCAGTGTATCTTCTGTTTCCCTAGGATGGAGCTTCGCTGCGTTATTGCAGTCATCCGGCATGGAGATCGTACCCCAAAGCAGAAGATGAAGATGGAAGTGAAACATCCACGGTAAGAGCCAAGGCAAGAAGGTGCTGCATTGCTGGAAAGTGAGGAGGGGTCACTTGCTGAATCAAGAAGCAGAGTAGAAGGGCTGAGTGCATGGAAGGCAGTGCATTTTCCTGGCTCCATCCTAGCAGATGCCTTCTGCTCAGCTGAGGGCATCTCCTAAGAATCTGATCACCTTCTGTGTGAACACTGGCAGGAAGAGCCAAGTTCTGCTAGGGCCTGCAAAGCAGAGTGCCCCACTACATGGGAAGTTAGCGGCTGCCTCCTTTTCTTAACTGAGCCTGGAAACACTCATTTTTGTCATCATTTCTGAGGCGCGGTGAGGAGCCACTGGGACTGCTGGTTCTCCCAGAAGAATAAAGTGTGAATGCGTACGTAGGGTTGAAAGTTGTAGTGCTGAAACAGCAGCTGCTGGATCAGGGTTCTTTGTTGTCTGTTCAGGTTCTTTGAATTATTTGAGAAATATGATGGCTACAAGACAGGGAAGTTGAAACTGAAGAAGCCAGAGCAGCTACAGGTGAGGGGAGTCCTCTCTGGGGTGACTGTGTGGGAGATAAGGTAATTTGATTCCCAGTGTGAGGGACTCTTTTGGGGGGATGTAAAAGCTCAGAAGGGTAGCAGTCTTCTGCAGAAACACTTGTTTTCTCATTCCTCACCCACAATGCACTCAGCAGGGTGAAAGTGTGATGGGAACTGCTCCTGGCTGATGAGAAGACTGCCGAGCTGGGAGGACCTGGTGCAACTTGGCCATCTGCTGTGGCTGCCTCCAATGAGGGATGGCTGCAGGATGGGGAGCGGGGCAGTGTGAGGCACCTGCTTGGTTCTGCCTGGGGCTGGAGTGCAGGATGAGAATGGAGCAAACTTCTGTGTGAAAGTTTGTTCTGCCTGAGCTGTGCCTCTTAGGAAAGGACGTGTCTGTAAGGAGTGCGGGTGTGGACATGGTGCTGGGTGAGGCTGTCTGGGGAAGCCTTGCAAGATATGATGGCGAATCTGGGGCAAAACTGCTGGGTGTTTGAGGCAGTGTCTGCTCCCCAACAGGAAGTGCTGGACATTGCACGGCAGCTTGTGGTGGAACTGGGAACCCATAGTGACTGTGAGATCGAGGAGAGGAAATCCAAACTGGAGCAGCTGAAGAGCGTTTTGGAGATGTAAGGATTCGTGTTTCGGGGCACTGTGAATTTGTCTCGGAGCTGTGGTTCAGCATGGGATGGAGAAGCTAATTGGACTGCTGGTGTTTTGGGCAGCATTTCTCCAGTGCTTGGAATATCCACTCCCTGTTACAGCTGTACCTAAGTGGTGCCATCCTGTTAAAATTTTCCCCTTGGCATCAGAACTGGTGTTGATTCTTGTTCCCATTGTGTCTGGTGTTCAGTTAAACAACTAGAGACAAAGGTGAGCTTCTTTTGCTGCGGGAAAGAAACAGGAGTCCTTTAAAGAGCTCATTAATATGAATTTCAATAAATTTTGAACAAATGCGATTTAAAAAAAACAATGTCAAAAATTAAACAAGAGGAAGCTTGGCAAAAATTAGAAGTAGTTTGTGTCCACAGCTTTTGGACAACAGCAGTGTGGTGGTGGCTGCGTCTCAGAAGCACGAGGTTTCCTCTCCAAGCTGTAGCTGGCGGTGGTGCAGTCGGGCACTGCCTGTGTTTAAGTCGTGTTTGTGGAGCACAGAGAATGAATTTTTACCATGATTCCTTCCCCTGCCTTTCCGCCCAATAGAAGTGTGCTTACACTCACAGTGGATGCTGGATTCTTTGTCTGTGATCCCAATAATTCATTCACTAAAGATGTAAGATAGATAGAAATTAGCAAAGCATTATTAAAGTCACTCTGGGGTATGAGAAAGCAAAATGCTGTCAGCTGAAGAGCAGGCAAGAAAATGAGTATTTAAATTTCATTTGGGGAGGTTATTTAGCTTTTTTTGGAGTGTGCATTCTGGATCACAAGTGCGTGTCAACAGTGTTCTTGTTCCATGGCAGTTGGTGCTGTAGCAGAAAGTCAGTGCGTTTTTGCTGTGTGCTGCCTAGGGATCTCTGGGCACAGAGGAGTGCAGCTGACTTATTTTCACTTTTTCCCCTTCTCACCGTGACAGGTATGGACATTTTTCTGGCATTAACCGTAAGGTGCAGTTGACATATCTGCCTCATGGACATCCAAAAGCTGCAAGTGAAGATGAAGGTAAAGAATCCTGACGTTGCTGCCTTGACCTTAAAGCCTGGTGTTTAAGAGTGTGTGCAGCTGTCTTACCTATAAAGACTTTGGGAGATGCAAGCATGATTAACATCTAGTGTCTTATATTTGCTAGCAACATAAGAAGGGCTGGATTGATACATAATGTAACGTACTAGTATTCTCCAGATGGTGCCTCTGGGCTTGCTCTTCTATGTTCATGAATGTCCGCCTCTACACCTTCAGAAAGTTGACTCTCTTACATTGGTGCTTGCTAGCATGGTTCCTGGGGGACTCTGGGTCAAGCTTGTGCTGCTAATGCTTTACAGGGCTCTGATGGCAACCTCTTCTTCCTGTCCACATCTCCTGCTGCAGGCTCAGGTTTGAGATCTGATGTAGGGAGTTTCTCTTTGTCTCCTAGAAGCTCGCAGAGAGCCTTCTCCATCTCTTCTCCTGGTGCTGAAGTGGGGTGGAGAGCTGACACCAGCAGGAAGAGTCCAGGCAGAAGAGCTGGGGCGAGCCTTTCGCTGCATGTACCCTGGTGGCCAAGGTAAGCTTCTTATGTGCGTGTTAGGTCCTGTCCTGTGGCTGTACCAGACTGCTTAGCCCAAGTGATCTTCAGTGTGAGGGATGCTCAGATGCCTGCATAGCAGTTGGTGCAAGGCCTCTTTGTCCAAATATGCAGCTGACTTCTGTCTGATATCTGTCCTTATCTAGCAGTGTGTTTCTCTGAATTATGAGCTCAGAGCTGGGAGCAGTGTCCACATCTTCTCACACAGTGTGACTGAATACTGTGCAAACTCATCATGAGATTCCATCCAATATCAAATGACTCATCACTGTAGTGTTTTTGGAGGGTCAGACTCGGAACTGCAGGAGTTGCTTTATCCTATTAGCAGTATCTCTCCTTTGATTGACCCAGCCATCACAAATAAACTTTTTCTTTTTCATTCCACAAAGTGGAAAAGTAGCTGTACAAGTTATGTTTAGAAGCCAGGTGCCTCACAGCTGAATAGCTCTGGCTGTGGTTCTGATGGCAGCAGAACTGCTTTTGTGCAAAAAACAAATAAAAAGAGGCAATTCTTTTGTGCCGCCTCATTCTGCACAGGGATATTCAAGCTAGCAGGCAATTATGAACTGCTGGAAGGGGATTGCTACATAATTTGGGCAGCATCAGATCTTTACTGGTGAATTCGCATCCCTTCCTCAAAATGGGCTTTGCCAAGTTAACCTGAAGTAGCTTTTCAGGCTTCATGTGATGGCTGGAAGTGACTATTTTGGAGTAGTCTAAGTGCTAGCTAATGATTCTCTACGTACTTTTGTTACTGCAAGCAAGTTTGTTGTCTGAAGTAGTGGTATTCTGCAGTATACTTGGCTGATAGTTTTTGAGGTGTCAGAATACTGTTCTGAGCCTGTTTTGTTCCAGGTGATTATGCTGGTTTCCCTGGATGTGGCCTGCTCAGACTGCACAGCACATACCGCCATGATCTCAAGATCTACGCCTCAGATGAGGGACGAGTTCAGATGACAGCAGCAGCTTTTGCAAAGGTTCTTCCTCTCTTGTGCATCTGCTAACTCTGCTGCATTAGCCTTTGGAATCTGCCAGTTTTAAAGGAAAACCTCTGGTGATAAGGAAGGATCTGTCCTAGGAATTTCCCCTGTCTGTTGGAAGGGCAGTGGTGCACTATGTTGATAGCAAGTGTGTGGGGCAGCACTGGAAATGCGCTGTAGCAGCACGTGCTTGTTGCCTTTGATATGCTGCCCAGTGTTAGACTGTGACTGGAGAAGGAGTTGCTTACAGAGTATTGCTGGTATTTAATGTTGGAGCACACTGCTGAATATTAATTGCCTACAAAATTAATTTCTGGGATGACTGCCCAGCCAGAGGGGTTATTCTCTGACTGCCTGATTTACGAGAGGAATGAAATGTCTTTGGGGCAGTCTAGGGTGGAGGTTGGGAAGGAGAGGGGCTCATCTGCAGTTAAAGCTTGAGCCAAGGGAGATCCTGTGGTCACCTGAGCTGTTCTTCAGAGCTGTATCAACTTCTCCCAGCAAACTGTGTTGGCTGCTCAACAATTGCCTGGACAGTTCTGGGGCCACTGCAGGCAGAGCTGCTGTTTAGACAGAATAGCTCTATGAGCATTACAGAATCACTGGTGATTATAAGTGCTATGGCTGTAAAAATACTCTTCAAGGGCAGGTGAGGTTTCATTCAGGCTGACTGAAGGCTGGCCATGAAGCTACCAGAAATGTTTGCTGCTTGGTTTGCACAGCTGAAATCTTGTCCTGTATTGTTTTAGGGTCTGCTGGCCCTGGAAGGAGAGCTGACCCCCATCCTGGTGCAGATGGTGAAAAGTGCCAATATGAACGGTCTCCTGGACAGTGACAGTGATTCTCTAAGCAGCTGTCAACACAGAGTGAAAGCACGACTGCATGAAATCATGCAGAAGGACGCTGAGTTCTGTGAAGAGGATTATGAAAAGGTAAAGCATCTTCATGGCCTTGGAGCTCCCTGTGGTTTAAGATACAAAGTCTGCTGGTGTGTGAGCAGTAGTTTTGTTAGTTTCAGAACAGTTCTAGTCAAAACTGCAGGATGTAAGCAGAACCCAACAGGGGAAAAGGAAGGATCTGGGGAGTAATAATGCCTACCCTTCTCCAAGTGAAAATGCCCCACAGTTCTCCACTGTCCTGTTCAAATCATTATCATGGGACCTTTCTCTCCCTATTAGAGGTCCCAGTGCATCTGATTGTCATGAGAGTGCTCAAAGAAAATGTTTTTGGCAAATCTGTTTTGTAAATATGAGTATAAATATGCGATAGGCTGGCATTTGGGGTTACCTGATTAACAGGTTAGCTGCTAGTTCTCATGGCTTGCAATCCCGTTTGTTGTGGACAAGCAGTTCACCTTTGCCAGATTTTAGATCCATACTTTGTGTGTGTGAACAGACCTTTTGGCTACAAACCATTTTGCTGTCCTGTCAGTATCTGATAACTGCAAAGCAGATAATATGGGCTACATCCAGCAAAGTGACGAATAAAAGCACTGTAGCTGCTTCTCCAACAAGTCCCTAAGCATTTTTTTTCCCCAGATTCTGAGATACAATTACAGAGCTGAGGCCTATTACCATTAACAAATATATTAATCACCTCAAATAAATACTTAAAACACTGTGAAACCCTTTGCTCAAGCACAGAAGCAAAGCAAGACAGGGGTGGGTACTGTCAATAGAGGGAGGTCTGGTTGATTATGAGCAGTTGTTTGCTGTCTCCAAGTTTGGTCCTGAGGCAGTTTTAAGATCATACCAAACTGCCTCTATTGCACTCAGCTGGGAACACAACTTTTGCACTTAATCATAAAGCAGGGCAGCTGAAAAAGGCAGACATGCCATGTTCCCAGTCTGTAAAGGTATTAACTAACCTCTGCTGGTATCTTCTCTCAGCTAGCACCTACAGGTAGTGCTTCTCTGCTCAACTCCATGACCTTCATCCAGAACCCGGTGGAGATCTGTAACCAGGTGTTCACCCTGATTGAGAACCTCACCTCCCAGATACGAAAACGGTTGGAAGACCCAAAATCTGCAGGTGAGTGTCACAGCTGCAGCAGATTCATTTCTTCTTCTGTCTTCACAGCTGCCAAACATCACCATGGTTTATTTTACGTATGTGACTATAGCAAAGAAATTCTAGAGTGGAATTCCATATGTATGATCGATGCAAAGGCTCCTATTCTGCTTTCAGCTGCTGTTGAAGTGAGCTGTAATGTATCTTGTGTTCAGAGAGAACGTAAACAGCAGCACTATGGCCTTAAGGGATTTGTCTGACCTTTTCAGGCATTTCCTAGAGAGGAGATAAATGCAGTAGGCAAGATTTTTCAGTCATCATTTGGTGAGTTCTGAGAGCTTTCCTTATAACAGCGCAGAGGTGTTACAAAGGCATTGGTGGGGCACCCACACGCGTTATGATAAACAAACCTAAAGGCAGATGGTTTTACTTTTCTCACATATTTCAGAAGTTGTTTACTGCTGCAGTTTAAGATGCAGCTCAAAAAGGTCCAGTGGCTTTTCCAGGGCAAGATTCCTGTCGGTGGCATAATAATTGGGGCCCTTCTGTGCTGGAAGAAGTCAGTCATAGCTTCCACCTGAGATCTGCATGGAAGCAGTCAGAATGTGAATATGGTTTTGTGCTCTCTGGTGTTTAGACCTGCAGCTCTACCACAGTGAGACTTTAGAACTGATGCTGCAACGCTGGAGTAAGCTGGAGAGAGACTTTCGCATGAAAAATGGGCGTTACGACATCAGCAAGATCCCTGATATTTACGACTGCATCAAATATGATGTGCAGCACAACTGTGCTCTGAAGCTGGAAGGCACAGCCGAGCTCTTCCGACTCTCCAAAGCCCTGGCAGATGTGATCATACCACAGGTAGAGCCTGTCCTGCATGTGTGAAGGGTCTGTGGTGGCACTTTCTGATCTTTCCACTGTCTCTTTTTTCTTGTGTCTCCTACATTAGCTCTCAAGGCAGAGTATCACGGGTATTTCTCAGGTCTCTTACTATTTGTGTAAGGCCAAAACCATCTACAACTTACGATGTGCAGTGCTTTCTTCCTGGATGAGGGTTCTCACAGCATCAGAATGATGAGCAAATGAGGCAACAGCTTTTGCATGTCCATCACAATGCATTTAGCACAGCTTTGGGATGAGTGTGTGTGTGCTGTAACATCCCATTTTCCATGTGCGAAGTTGTACACGGGGACATTTTCTGTATGAAAGTGAAGCCTTTTTTGGTGGATTTGACATCCCTGTCAAACTGGGTCTTGTTCAATTTGTAGAGTTGGTTTGCTTCTCGCAAAGGTTTTGCATATGGAAATGTGAGTGGAAGAAAGGGACAAATGCAATACGTCTCTTTGTTTTGTTCCACTCCAGGCATAAATGTTTCATTTGTCAGGGATGGGCTTCTGACAACAGGGCCCAATTGCTCTTGCACTCGTGTTGGGCAGAAATGGGCTTCTGAACCTTTCCACACTGTTTCTGATAAGAAACTGTTCAGCCATTTACAGTTCAGCTCTTCCAGTTTTATCTTTGTAAACAGCAGTTGTTGGGTTAATCCTTATGCCAGGTCTCTGCCACAAGAGAAGGTTGGCTGATGGTATTGGTCCCTCTCAGCTGTCCAAAGTGTACTGACAGCCATGTCTAGGCAGATTGGGATTCTTGGAGGGTACTCTGTCCTCTGTAACCTCCCTAAATAAGTGGAAAAAATGAAAAAGGTGCTGAGTAGCATTTCCCTTTCTGTCTTTCCTTACCTGTAGCAGTGCTTGTGGACAGGACTGTGGAAGTGCAGTCTCCTTTCTTCTGAGAAGAAGATATCTACTGGGATATCTGTCTGAGCTCAAAGATATCTATTGGGTTTTGTTTGTTTTCCTGCAGGAGTATGGAATTAATAAGGAGGAGAAACTGGAGATTGCTATCGGCTTTTGTCTTCCTCTAATTAAAAAAATCCAGTTGGACCTACAGAGAACGCATGAAGACGAGTCTGTCAACAAACTACATCCCCTGTAAGGACTGTGATGTTTGCTGGGGAGGGCAGGCTCTGGGGCAGTGCGTGGGATCCCTACCAGAAGAGTGTAGTGGTTTAGGAGGAGGCACCAAGGGGGACACCGAGAAGGAAGCACATCGATGTTCCTAGAACAGGAAGAGAAATCCAAAGGCACATTGAAACTGTTGGGAGTGAAGCAAGATGCCAAAGAAGTCGTTGCAGCTGGATGGTGGTGCTTTCATCCCTGTCTCTGCAAGGAGCAAACGCTGGTGTGATGCACCCACGTCAGCCCCACTATGTGTCTCCATTAGGATAGCAAAAATCTTCTGTGCCTAATGCTCGCTCTGCTTGCTCTGTTCCTGTTGCTCTTTAACAATTCCCAGTGTATGATTTTCTTCTATTGAGTAAGCGGAAGTACTGCTGTGTGGTAGATGTCAATCCATTGGCAGGCTGTGAATAACACGGGGCTGATTTTTGTTCAGGTACTCGAGAGGAGTGTTGTCACCGGGCCGCCACGTTCGGACACGGCTCTACTTCACCAGTGAGAGCCATGTGCACTCTCTGCTCAGCATCTTCCGCTATGGGGGGCTCCTGGATGTAAGTGTTCCAGCAATGCTCACAGAGTAAGCCACCCTGCTTTTTCTCAGCCGCCCTTTCCAATGCAGACGGAGTGTGTTTGCAGGTTGCCCCTTTAGCCAGCACTCACAGTAATGATGTGCACCAGTGCTCTCTGACCAGCTCCATCGCTGCCGTGTCTGCATGCTGCAGCTTCCTGCCTTCTGGCATGTAGAGGGATTGTTCTTCCTCTTCCCTGACACCAGCTGCCTGGCTTGTGCAGAGCCCTGTTTTCTCCAAAAGCTATCCTTCTAATTTTAGATGAGTCTGGAGCACTTGCCTCTGTAGAAAGAGAGCAGTGTGAGGCAGTGGTGATGCAGGAATTCTTTCCTGCCTCCTTCAGCAATTTGTTTAAAAGAGTTATTTAGTTGCTGTTATTTGGAGACTTTCAGTTAATTCAAAGTCAAGAAATCAGTTTGCTTATCGAGGAAGTGGCCTGGGGTTGTAAATGCATAGAGAGCTCAGTACCAGGGGGAGAGAGTTCTAGGGGACTATCTCGTCAATCCAACCTCTTGTTGCACTCTCATGACCTGCTTCCTGAAGGAGTCAGCATGCAGACCTGAGAGAAAGCTCTGTTTAAGGCTTCCTTGGTGTTTTTTTTGTTTGTTTGTTTTTGTCATTTCTCTAAAATCTTGAGAACGACTGTGCTTGGGAGCTGCTGTGGGTTACGCATTTCTCCAGTCAGCATGGCACAGGGGGTTGCATCTGGGTGTCCTTAGATCTGCATGTGGGTTGGGTGGGGAGCTGTAGTGTCCCTCTGTGCAATTGCTCCTTCCTGTAAGCACCCTGCCCTCGTTGCACAGCCATCTCTCCTGTTTTTGTCCTAACAATGCTGTTACCTTGTGGAGAGGCAAAGTCTCTCAGACCCATTTCACTGAACGCTGCAAGGTGTCTGCTGTTGCTTATTCCATGCGACTGTTTATGTGTATATATATCAGGAGAACAAAGACCAGCAGTGGAAGAGAGCCATGGACTATTTGAGTGCTATCTCAGAGCTGAACTACATGACCCAGATTGTTATCATGCTCTACGAAGACAACAACAAGGTGAGGGATGTAGCTGTAGGACAGAATCCTTCCTGCCACGATGCTGGGCGCAGCCCCTGAGAGATAAAATCAGTTAGAATTTTGTGATCTGAGCTTTCAGCTTGTGGATAAAGACAGATGGATCATTAACACAACTGCTAGTTCTTATTTTTAGGTGTGAGGCAGTGACCCACTTACTGTTTGTTACGTGTAAGCAGAATGCCATCCTGAGCAGTAGTGCCAAACTTGCATAATTGATAGTAGCAATTTGAAAGCATGTCCTAAAGCAAAATCATTTCTTGTTTCTTAATATTAATTACAAGTTAACAATAGGAAACAAATTAAAAACAATTTATATTTGGCTGTTTATTCAGAGTATTTCTAGAAAATGTCCAGAAATCCCATATTCATAAACTTTTTTTGTATTTGCTAAAAATCCTCTCATATAGTTAGGGAAGTATATAAGGATATCTTTAGGAAGAAAAGACAACCACTTAAAAATGGGTGGAATGTGGAAAATGGCAGCGATGGCCATAAACAGTTCTGGCACTGAAGTGTGCATTCTGAATCCCAGATTCTGTGATCTATGCTTCAGGAGGTCGTGGCGAGAGGAGCAGTCCCTTTACAAGCTTCAAAATGAGAATGTCACGTTCAGAGAACAGATGTGGGGTTTTAATGGCAGAACAGAGATCTTGAGTGGCAGAGCAAGTAGAGATGATGAAACTTTGGGTTATCATTAGTTCTGAAACCTGTAAAAGTTCTGTCTGCCTTCTAAAAATAGGTATTATTTTAAATAATTATTAGAGACTGTTACTTGAGTCTTGGAGCAAGTTGACTGAAGGTCTGGGAGGGAGCCAGTCTCTCCATGTGCCTGTAGGTGGTTTTGCAGCAGAGTGGTCTCTGTTGCCTAAAGCTGTGCTTTAGTTCCATGAATATATATGTAGAGCCTGATTCTGTTTTGGCCTCCTGGTGGCTGCTGTGACAGAACAAGAACATTTTGAATGCCTCGGCTTTGTGCTAATGAGGGCCATACTTTTGGACAAGGCAGTCCTAGAGCCAGTATGTCTGTGGGTTTTTGTTGCTTCTGCCTTCCTTCGGAAGGATGCTGTTGGGGTGCATGCTGCACCAGCATGGCAGGGTGGCCAAAGCCCAAACCATGGCCTGTGCTGACAGCCTGCGAGGTTTCCATGTATTCGCTTATTCCCCATCCCTGCTGTTCACAGGACCCATCTTCAGAAGAGCGCTTCCACGTGGAGCTGCATTTCAGCCCTGGAGTGAAGGGCTGTGAGGAGGACAGAAACGTTCCCGCGGGATTTGGCTTTCGGCCTGCCTCAGCAGAGGTGAGTGCGCTGTGCTGGGCACGGGGCAGAGGGCTGCCCTGCGCGGGGACGTGCTGCGCGGCTCTGCTGAGCGTCCTGCTGCCCTCCGGCCCCGCGGCCTGGGCCCAGCAGCGGGCTGTGCTCTCCTCCGGCCTGTCCTTGTGCCCGAGGACTCAGCAGGTGACGTTCTCTGCCTGACTTGGCGGGCGCTGTAGGGCAGTCTTTGTTCGAGGAGGAGCAGAGTGCTGGTATCTGACTGCGCTTAGCGGAGCTCAGAGATCCCGGCCTCGAGCAAATGCCCCGGGCAGCGCCTGGTACGGATGTATGCCTGGAGCTGTCAGTGTTCCCTACTGCAGAGTGAGGACAAGAAAGCAGACCAAGGCAGCCTGGAGGACCTCTCCAAAGAGAAGGGCATGGATGAGCCCGATCGTGCCCAGCCAAGGTCTCCGCAGCCCTCCGAGCCCGTTGGAATTCAGCGGAGATCACCTCTGATCAGGAACCGCAAGACGGGGTCGATGGAGGTAAAAGCTGCTCTTGTTGGTCTCATAAAGGTCTTCTGCCTCATTTTAGTTTCCTGAGATTCCTCTTCAAATAACAGTTTGAGTTGCTTCTGTGGATTGATTTGGAGAAGGACTTTGAGTTTTTGGAAAGGCTGGCCTAACAAACTCCCCGTGGAGGAGGGACAGGGAATTTATGAGGAAGAGCATTTTTGGTATCTGTTTTCTGATAGGGAAAGCAGCATCAGAACACGAGCTGTTTGTTAGCTGGCTTCTGCCACTGTGTCACCCATGGTGTGACCTTTGTATGGGGAGTCTGCATTGGGCACTACTGTGTTGAAGGGGATATACATTTCTGCTGCGAAGGAAGGAAGTCTGTCCCAGTGATCTCAGTGGTCTTAAGAGACGAGGAAGTCAGTACAAGGATCCCTTACTGTTTCTGAAATTTCTACTGTTCCATATCCCCAACGCAAACATGAAATTAAAAGTGAGCACACGTTGTCACAGTACTCATAAGAGTGCTTGTATGCTTCTTGAAAATTGTGATTTTTAAGCAAGAGGCACTTTTCTTTTTACTTCTGTACAAAAACACTTGACAGCAGTGGGTAAGACAGGGCATAGTCCTGATCATGCTCTCTCTTTGCAGGTGCTTTCTGAATCTTCTTCCAAAGGTTATCGCCTCTTCAGCACTTACTCCAGGCAAGCTTCTGAGATGAAGCAAAGTGGCTTAGGTACTGTACTTGACCCGTTCCCAACCTGCTCATCTGTACCTCTGTATTCTCATGTGCATCTGTCTGTCCCTCCCTGTATTTATCTGGCTCAAGTTCCTTGTATGTCTCTCTGTGTGCATTGTGTCTTTTGTAGTTACTGCCTCGACCGCTGCCGAGATTATCACATTGTAATGACTTTTGTGTGTGACCTCCTCCTTCAGTTTCCAGCTACAGAAGACGCACTTGTCATCCCATGTAAAACCCGAGCCACAGAGCAACTTATGGACTGAACTTCTGCTTCTGTGTTGCTCTCATTTGTTGCATCATTTTTAAACTTAGTAGGAGGAGATGATTTCACATGAGATCTGGAATACTTTCTGTTCTGCAGGAGCGTAGTTTACATACAAAGCTGTTTTCATGTAAGACTATTGTCTTTCTACCTTTTTTTCCTAAAGATCTCTTGTATGAAACAGATCTATCATCTTCTGCTGCAGTGTTTGACAGCTCTCAGAGCTGGGATCCCCTGCATGGTAGCCTGTGGGAGAAAATATTTTGGGGCAGCTGGTGTTCTCTGTTGTGTCCTTGAGAATACCATTCCCTGCCATCCTACTGTAAACTGTGTCTTAAGCAAAAAAAATTTTGGAAGCTGAATAGCAGTCTTTGGTGCCATGGGGTTCAAAACAGAGAAACCTAGATCCTGCAGAAGCCTAAAAAGCAATGGGGAATGGAAATGCCCAAGTTAGGCCCACTTTCTTTTTCTCTAGAACCATTTTTTTTGCATTTGAGTTCTGAGGCATGGCCACAGGTTTCCTTTCAGCAGTTCTATTACTGACTCTTTACTCCGTGACACAGGCACCTGCAGCCAAAGGTTATCTGAAGGGCCTGATCACTGCTTTGTCCCTTTTGAATAAGCTGCTTCTTTGGAAACCAATTCTTGTCAATTTGATGGAATTTTCTTTGCTACAATTAGAAAATATCCCAGGTTTCTGTTTTGGAAATAGAAAAGACTACTACTGTACTGGACTTGACAAAAAAAATTTGAAGTGCAATCTCATCAGGTTTAATCTCAAGTTCTTACCAGGCTAGCCTCGCTGGAGGCCTTTGCTGATCATTCACCCAGCTGTGAAGCTCTGCAGATGGAAAATTTTGGGTGGGAATTGAGCGAGCAGATCTGGAGCTCTGTCTGGATATTCAGTTCAGTCACCATTTTCCCCATGGAGACTTGTGGCTGTGTGCAAGGAAGGGTTGAACTGGTGTTGTGCTGCAACACCAGGCTGCACAATTTCTGCTTATCAGAATGTCTGTTTTTGTGAATTTCTCTCAGCCTATGAGCTGCTGAAAAGAATGATGCTTCTTTACTTGTGAAAACCAAGCTCTTTTAGGAATTTTCATGATTCCTTTCCTGCTTGCTTCATAGAAGTCTAATGTCTTCTCCCACTATGAGCTGAGGTATGTTTTCTCTCTTGCAGAAAGTATATAGAACTCATGGGATCCTAAACATTGGCTTCAATACTTGTCTCAGCAGCTGTGCTGTGAGGTGATTCATTCAGATGCTGCCTGCTGTTTCTGAGCTTTTCTGAAGTTCAGAGCCTGACCTTGCCATTGTCTGGCTGTTGTTATCTCAGAGGGAACATGTGCATCTCTTCAGATATTCCCTCACATGTTGAATCATTTTGGAAGGAGAAGCAGGGCAGAGCTGTTGCCCTGTTGCCGTATCTGCCAGAATTGTGTCTTTGTGGTAATTCAGACATGCCTTGAAATGGCTGCTGGGAAGAAGCAAGGGCTGCAGCTTGCTTTGTCTGTGCAGCATGTTGCTTTGGAGTATGCCTTGTTTTTCTGGATAGGAACAATTGCACCATCGTGGACTGTCTGCAGTAGTGTGTGTACTTCTAGCTAAAGAAGCATAGGGATGTTTCAGTGCCTTCTTTGCTTGCAGAGCACTTTGAAACAGGATAAAATCACTCCTCGCTGTCAAAGGGGTGATATATTGCCAGTGGGGCTGGCAGCTTTGTGCTGAGACTTTCACTCCTGGTAAGAGTGAAACAAGGGATATCCATTTTTGAACATCTGAAACATTGAATATACAACTGAAAGTTAAATATACAAAAATGATCCAGCATATTATGTTATTCCTTGTAAGCACTGCTACATCTTAGATCCAACTTGCTAGTATGGTGTTCTTTGGGATGTGTGCTTGTTTGTTTAATTTGGTTACAGTGAGTTCACTGTAGACAACTGCTGTCATCCATAGAGTCATGCTTGTAAATTCTGTTTGTGTTTAAGGTGCTAACAAAGTGCCTTTGTCTACTGTATGATTACAAACACTTAGCTGTCCTTAGTTTAATGATTAGTGGCACAAGATGGCAAATGAGAAAAATCTGTAGTTATGTTTTCATCTGCCAGTAAATAAGTCTTGTCTTTTGTTGCTCTTTGTTTGTTTTAAACCATAATATGGCTCTGAGCATCACTCTGGCTGCCACTTGACAAAATTTTGTTTGCATTCTGATAGATTCCTGTTCATGCTGAGTCACCACTGAGCTTCCCGCTACTGGGGTTGGGAGAAATGTTCTCAGACTTGAGTATCAGTTACCCTGCAGGCAAGAGCTGTTTGTTTGCTCTTTGTCCAAGGACAAAACATGCTGGTCTGCCCAGTGCAAAGCCACTAGCAGTGTTGCAGTGGCGGAGTCGCTTAGTCCAGTGCATATGACAACTCTTTTTGTCAGCCTCCACAGTTCTGAGAAGCAGATATCAGCTGAGATTGAGCTTACGCATCAATAACCCAAAGCTCAGGATTTTTTTTTTTTTTTTTTCTCCGAAGAGACTCCAGTTAAAGTGCTGATTTGTACAAAAAGACCTGGCATCCTCCTGGGCGACAAATGGATGTCAGGCAGTAGCATGTCCTTCAACCAGAGAAGGCAGATGGCTTGCTCTCTCTGCCAGGTTAATAGGACTGCAGCCAGCAGGCTGAGGAAGCTGGTCCTTCCCCTCTATGCAGCATTTGTGAGACTGTATCTGAAAGACTGCTGCTTGCTTTGGGCTCCCTGGGTGAAGAAGGGCATGGATGTAGCAGGCAGCAGCCCAGGGCAGAGCAGCGGGGGTGTGTGGAGCTGCAGCACAGATTGGTGGAGACCTTAATGCTGTTTAACCACCTGAGCAAGAGATTACAGAGGAGTCAGAGAAACATGAGAAACAACAAATAGAAGTTGCAACATTCCAATTACCTTGGGGGAACTGATTTTTCACCATAAGCATGCCAAATATTGGGACTGGGGCTTGGAATCTTTCTGCAATCTCCTTCCTTGAAGGTATGCAGACTGGACACATCCTAGCAAGTTGATCCAAGCTGGAAGCCTCACAGAGTTTCCTTCCAACCTAATTCATTCCACGTTTTGGGACCAAGAACTTCTTCCACAGTAGGAAGAGTTTATTTCTTTTAACAGTAATAACAGATGCACTGTTCCACTTAAATACCAGTAGGCAGTATGTCAGGCTTCTTGTCCTTGCAAACGAGGTAGAGCAAGATCAACCTGCTTGTTTCTGGAAGCAAGGTATGTGGGAGTAATGTTTTTAGCAGATGGTATTTACAGAATGTAGTATCAAGGCAGCTGAACAAGGAATTTATAGACAGTCAGTGGTTTTATCTTTCCAATAGTAAGTTGTGTGGTTTTTTTTCCCTCACACACAATTGCTTTCTGTGGTTGAAAGAGTCCTGTTTCAAATACCCAGCCATTCCCCAAATGTCACATAATGTCAAGCCACTGTGAAAAATGCTGTGCAAACACCAGCACTTACCGGAGCTCACATGCACTCTCCTGTGCATGAGAATGTAATGCATGCCTTCTTCCTTACCATAGGGTAAGCAAAGCTCCACGCTGTGTGCGCCTGTGGTGCTTTGTAAGGTCATTTGCAGAACACTTGGACTGACTCTGGAGTCAGTGCATGACCAAGTGGGTGTGAAAGAAAGCTCTCTTGTCCCATTGCTTTCCTTACTGATTGACAGAGCGATTAATCCACACTTGCAGCAACAGTTTCAACACACTGAAATGCACTAGGTATAGGTAGCTCTTTCTTCTTCTCAGTGTCCAGCAGAAGAGGGACCTTCCAAAGAGAAAGGACAGGAGAGCAGATGTTGTGTGAAATGAGCATCAGTGATCTGCACCCTGGCTTTTCTGACAGGAGTACTTGGTTTTGCTGATGGGTGTCAGGATGTTTTTCCTAGATTAGATTGGAAGAGCCAGAGGGAAATAAACCATTGGAAGGAGTTGGAAACTTTCCTGGAGCTGAATATTGGGCTACCTGCTGTGCATTTGGCACTGCTGAATTCAGAATGGGGAATACAGCCTGCCCATTCTTCCCCAGCATCATGTATTTCCTGGTATTGCTTCTAAAGCAGGCAGTTTATTCCTCATTCTTCAACTAACACTGCTTTTCTGTAGTTGCATGGTGTGGAGAAGTCATACTAACACCTTCCATGCCTTTCCAGGGTCACAGTGCACCGGGCTGTTTAGCACCACTGTGCTGGGAGGCTCCTCCAGTGCCCCCAACCTTCAGGACTACGCACGCAGCCATGGCAAAAAGTTTGCCAGCAGCCTGACATACAAAGACGGTATGTGTGTTCTCTGTGCAGCAGGTTAATCTGTGGCCTTTGGTGTCTCAGGGAGCTACTAAAGCAGAGACTTAGACCGCTAAGAAGAGTGACACAGTCAGATGTGTATATTCACCTCATCTAAGTAATGCACTCTGTCGTATCCCAAGAGGTCGTGGTCCCTGCTAGGACAAGGCAGGGGCTGGCATTGTGCGAGAAGCTGTACATCGAGGTGTGGTGATGCTGGTGTATAGTAGTGCTGGTGGCTGATTTTTCTCTGGTGTTTAAATACTGCTTGCTGGTGTTGAGGAAGGATTATTGGACTAGATATGAGAGAGGTCTGTCCTGGTACATGTAAAATCATCTTGCTTACCTTTTTGACCTTACTAGTGCTAAACCAAGGATCTATTGAGACATTAATCCTCAGTCTACAAAAGATGGGGCAGTGTGATGTGCTGAGGGAAACAAGTTGAGTGCTGAAGTCCCTAGCTGCGTGCTGGGCATGCAGAAGAATCTGAAAGAGCTGTCAAAAGGCAGTGTAATAGGTGTGATATGCCCGCTGTAAGTGCCTGCAGAAGGACTTGGAGTTATTGTGAGTGGTCTGTAGAAACTGCTGTACAGGGCAGCAGGGCATATTTGGTAGGACATATTTGGATCATTAGTGCAACTGTTGCTTGGTGTGCATAGATGAAAGGATGTTGCCAGCTGAGGATTTATCTCCAGATGGTATAAGCTAATTATGCACTGAGATGCTGTTGCTACTTTCAAGGAATCTGGAGCACAGGAGAAGACTGAGGTATTCTAGAGGAGTTGTAGGGATGTTATGCACCAGTGAAAGTGTTCATTATGATCCCAGTAAGACTCTGTCAAGTATCGATTACAGTAGATTGGGTGATGAATTGTTTGAGAACAGCCCTGCAGAGGACTTAAGGGTACCAATGGACTAAAAACTGAATATTTGTCTGCAGTGTGCACTTGCACCCCAGAAAGCCAACCACATCCTTAGCTATACAAAACTGTAGAATCACAGAATGACTTGGGTTGGAAGGGCCCTTAAAGACCATCATTTCCAACCCCCCTGCCTTGGGCAGGGACACCTCCCACTAGACCATGTTGCCCAAAGGCCCCATCTAGTCTGGCCTTAAACTCTTCCAGGGATGGGACCCCCACAACATCCATAAAAAGGATGAAGGCTTAACATATCAGGGTGATGTGAAAGATGTTACCCATTCTGAGATCTGTTGGAACCCCATGAATACTGTTGTACAGAGGCCGTGATGTACACTGGCTTTCTGTGCTGCTTTTCAGTGTAAGAGAAAACTGCATTGCTTTTCACCTCTTCAGGGAGCTTCTTAGCACACATCAGGCAGTGTGGTAGAGACAAGGAGGGTGAACTGGAAGGATTTGTCAAGCCCTGCTGCATAAGCCAGAGCTGCTCAAGGCAGCAAGTGCTGGTTGACCATTGGTCCCAGAATAGAAGCTTGTGGTGTTTGGCACAGGGCAGGGGTATGACGACCACAAGAAATACTGAAAAGGCCAGCTAGGACACTGACTGATTTTCTTCCACTCCAAGCAAACACCATAGGTCCAAAGGCAATTACCAATTCTCAGGGAAAACTGTCAAAGACTGCTTGTTCTGTACCCAGCTGGTACCAGGGCAGATTTTGTCCAGTCCCACCATTCCCTGGTGCAGTGCTGCCTTTCTCTGTCAGCTGTGTACTAAGAGCATGCTTGCAATTGGCTCCTTGCAGTCGAGGTTGAGGTCCAGGGCACATTTCTGCTGCGTTAGCCTAAATTCTGTGTTCTGTGTCCTGAGATGCAGCTGTACGCTCAAGTACTTACAAGTCAGACTTATTTAACTAATGTACGACTAACAGCCCAGAATTATTCATCTAGATGTTACATTTCATTTTTCATATTTCTCTGCATGTTACAGCACTCTGTGCTACCAGTGCTCTGCTGCAATCATAGTAACTGTGAGTGTAGCAGAAGTGCTGAATCACAGCTTGCAGCAGTGATGGAGCACCTGGTGGAAGGCAGGGCCAGCCCAGGGGAGCTCAGGTTCATGCAGTGCAGCTGAGTGACAGGAAGGGCTGGAGCCAGGATCCATCCCCTCCAGCCCCATTTAAGGGTTGGCAATGGAGGTGAGGGTATCTCTCTGGAGATCCCTGCCTACCTGAGGCCTTCTGAAGGTAAGCAGCTGCTTGCTTTCTTTCTTTCTTTCTTTCATTTCTGCATCCATGGCTGCTGCATATGGGCTTATTTGCATTTGCTGCAGCCAAAGATTTTGGCACCCTGCTATTATTGCTGTACTTTCCATCACATTATAGTGTTACAGTGAGGAATTGGGAAAAACAAGTAGGAGGCAGAAGGGCATTTTATCTCCTGAGGAAGGTAGTGTGGAATGTGAGGTCAGCCCTTGTTCTGGGCCTTTCCTTTTAAATGAGCACCAATGAAATGATGAACATTGGCACTGAAGCCAAACACCACCAGAGCTGAGTGCAGTAAGTGACATGGCTACAGCAGACATTTGGAGTATGTTTGTATCAGGGCGTTTTTCTCAGTCATCAGGCAAATAATCTTTAAAAAGTCTCCAGGCTTTGGAGCGCACATTTACTGGCATTTTTCATGGCTGTGATGCTTCAACATATGGTGCATGGCTTGTGGCACTTCATCTAAGACTTGCTCAAGTGAAATTAAAGTGGCCCATAATTACTTCAGTCTCTTTGCTTGGCACTGGAAGAAGACTAAGCAATGGTTCAGTGGAGGGTTCCGTCCCAAGCTCAGGTTGAAGGAAGGTCCTCTGGTGATGCTTTGAGTTCAGCTGTCTGAATCCAGGGATCCAGTAGCCTATGTTGCAGCACTATCTAAACTGATGCTCTTGTAAATGCAAAAAGGAGACTTGAGTAAGCTGACGGTGTCTACCATCTGTGTGACTGCAGCACCAGGGCTCACACAGTTCTCAGAGGACACGTGTAAAGAGCTTTGCCATCTAATTGTAGTTTAAAAGGAGGAAAAGAAAAAAAAAACACCAAATTTTTTAAGGCTGTTATGCTGCAAAGGAAAATTGAAGCAATTTTGAAAGCTGATTTAAGTATATTATGTGGGCAAGTCAGTGGGTGTAAATAGAGAAGCACAGTGTAGGGTGTGGAAGCATAATTGGTAAATGAATCTCCTAACCTCAATATGCAGTGACAGGCATGTATAAAGACCACATTGACCAGGTAGAATTAATGCATTAAATAGAAATGACATCCTTAGGTCCTGAGTAGTAGCGAAAGGTATGACAGGATGGGTTCTCCATCAGATCCTGCATATAGGTGATCTATGCAGACCATTCTTTCTATAGTAACTGAGGAGTACCCAGAGTGGGAATAAACTGAAGTGTGTGGTTTTTTGTTTGTTTTTTGAGCATATGGAGACCAACCCACAAACTCATCTATTTGTGCCCCATCAGCAGATACATAGAGCCTATCCTTGCACTAACTTCTGATGTGTGATTTTTTTGTGAGAACTTGGTCTGGTCTGATTCACAGCCAGGAGAAGCCTGAGGACCAGTCTGACAGGTGTATCCCCAAACCTCTTCTATACTGAGATGCTTTGAGCAGCAGAACTGCAGAGATACCATCATGGATCTTCTATTTGTTCCCTAATTACTTCATTGATTTAACTTTCAGATTCATAAATAGCTCTGCTTAGCTTGCATTTAGAGGTTGTTTTGAGCTGCATTTAGCAGTGACAAGGCTGTTCAGTTCTGCGGAATAGACTTTTCTTTGGGCAGTGGTGAATCCTGAGGACCATAGCTCTAGGGTTTCAGGATATGTGGTGGTGCTGCTGATTGCTTGTTACAGCTTTGTGGCTATGAGTGTGGCCTTGTTGCACCTCTCACTGAACTGAGCCTGGGTTGCTATCAAGATGGCTGGAAGTCTGGTGGGAAGGTACATGCTGCCGTCTGTGATGGAGGGAGTGCCACTGATGTCCTTGAAGAGCCATGTGTGACACTGACAAGACAGTGCAAGGGAAGCAGGGAGCTGATACTGTGTGAGGAACCCAAGAGCTTCCCTCAAACCTGCAGGCAGAACGTGCCTGGGGTACGGCAGCAGTGCCAATGGAGGTGTGTTGGGGGGTCCAGCAGGAGGTGCACCTGAAAGGGCAGAGGCAAGCACGTGAATCGGGGGTTCCCTAGAGGCAGGCTGTTAACTGAGATGATCTGTTTTTATTTCCTCAGAGCTCTTGTCTATGCCAGCCGTAAAACGATTTTCTGTGTCGTTTGCAAAGCATCCGACTAATGGTACGTTTGCTTCCTTGATTTGACGTTCCCTCACACTTCTAACCCCATGCTCACATTCAGTTCTCCTCTCTGCACATCTCTCAGCCTTCTTGTGGTTTCTTGCGTGTCTGTGTACCTGGTGTCCATGCTTCACCTTCCCCCATTGTCTCCTTGTGACTGACTTGTTCATTCATCCGCTGTTACTGCTCAGTGGTTCCTGTACTGTTTGTGGGAGGTCCGTCAGATGCATTTGTGTCCCAGGTGAATAATCAAGAGCAGTGACTGTGAATGGAATTCCTAAAGCAGCCTTTAAATCCACTGCTGATGTAAGGCCTTCTATAGCACTGCCTTGCAGGGGGTGGAGGTTGTGGGAAGAATGCCGTTGGACCTGAGGTGTGTGGGGGGAATGTCTACTTCATATCCTAAGAACACCAGCAACTTTGGTCTCAGCTTCTACACTGCGGATCTTCAGGTCTGAAATAAGAAGAGATCCTGGAAAAGTGCAGTCTGTGATGGGAGGGTGGGAGGTGCTAGCAGCATTCCTTAGCACAGTGGTCTCAGGAGGCTCTATGAAGCTACCAGTATTCCTATTTGCAAACAGGTTTGTTAGGTTGGGCCCTTGGTTACTCCAGGCACGGTGGTGTTGGTGGGAGTGGTCTCACCTTTCCTGCAGCATTTTCCTGGGAATGGTCTCCAGAATTTCCATCTGCAGTGCTGCCTTGGCCCTGCCACTTTCCCAAGCTAGGAGGAG